TTTTGATTTCCTGTAATCAATCTATAGACTTATGATGTCATCCTGACTTCAGTAGCATTGTGACGTCATCAGGATTTCAGCTCATTCTAGCAGTCTTATCTTATTCCAAATATTTGTTCAAAACTTTTATAATAATTTTTTTTTTCATGTTTTTTCTTATCGAACTGTAGTATCAGGTAAATCCAACCCTCAAAAATTATGATATACATCAGTATAATAAAACGCTTATCCACTGGCTGTGACTGGGATAGCTCTTTCATCACTGAAAAACCCTTGACAGGAACTATTCCCCTCGGGGAATAGTTCCTGTCGCGGGTTTGATAAAAGAGCTATCCCACTCACAGCCAGTGGATAAGTGTATAATATCTTCCAATATTTACATTTGCAAATGCTTTCCTTTATATAACACTATTGAAAGCAATGTGTATCTATTTTAGGAATGACTCTAATTCTTGGCCAAATTATTCGAGTATAACCTGGTTTGGGTCAGTTTACGCTGTTTTATAATCCGCGAAGCGGATTATAAAACAGCGTAAACTGACCCAAACCAGGTTATACTCGAATAATTTGGCCAAGAATTAGAGTCATTCCTTATAATTTAATTTTAAAATCATTAAATAACTATGGGTGTAAAATTTCGTTACTTTTTATCAGTTCAAATTTGCCGCTCAATAATACAACCATAGTAACGGAAGTAACGGAAGTGATGGGAATCGAGGGGAGGTAAAAACTGATACATAGGCATAGCAGCCATGTTGTTTGGTTACATGTGGTAAGATCGAATTATTGTTTGAAATTAAAGGTACATTTATTAAATCTTGAATTTTCCATGAATCCCGAGGACTGGAAATGAGAGGACTGTATGGATACAGATGATTCAGCTGGTTGTCAGGGGGGTGTGTCCCCATACCAAACCAGGTTATACAGAAATAATTTGTGTTCCTTTTTGGATATTAACCAATCAGAGGCTAGTATACAAGCAAAATTAAATTATTTCTGTATAACCTGGTTTGGTATGGGGACACACCCCCCTGACAACCAGCTGAATCATCTGTATCCATACAATACTCTCATTTCCAGTCCTCGGGATTCATGGAAAATTCAAGATTTAATAAATGTACCTTTAATTTCAAACAATAATTCGATCTTACCACATGTAACCAAACAACATGGCTGCTATGCCTATGTATCAGTTTTTACCTCCCCTCGATTCCCATCACTTCCGTTACTTCCGTTACTATGGTTGTATTATTGAGCGGCAAATTTGAACTGATAAAAAGTAACGAAATTTTACACCCATAGTTATTTAATGATTTTTAAATTATAAGGAATGACTCTAATTCTTGGCCAAATTATTCGAGTATAACCTGGTTTGGGTCAGTTTACGCTGTTTTATAATCCGCTTCGCGGATTATAAAGCGTAAACTGACCCAAACCAGGTTATACTCGAATAATTTGGCCAAGAATTAGAGTCATTCCTAAAATAATTTGTGTTCCTTTTTGGATATTAACCAATCAGAGGCTAGAATACAAACAAAATTAAATTATATCCGTATAGACACGGGTTCCTCGCGTCATAAACGTTCGACGTAATTTCTCAGTGACGTCATAAAGGGTCAACGCGCAATCAAGGGATCAAATACATGCCGCTGAGTTTGAAAAATAAAAAAATAAAACATTTCACGCGTTAAAAATTATAATCAGGAAAATATAAAATGTGAATAAGTCATAAATGTAAATATAAGTAATAATGTATCATTTTTAAACATCTATCGGGATATAAATACGGGTTGGTCACGAGATCAAATATCCATAAAGCCCGAATTGTTTTAGTTTATGTTGGGCTGATTTGGCGTTCGGGTCATTTTTGGTGTGCATGTGTGATTTTGAAAAGGGATGGGGGTGGTGGTTACGTCAATCTAATAGACTTTTTTCAACAAGGTTTCAAATACATGTGATCAGATCTTCTGAAGGGGGGGGGGGGGGCTATAGGAAGTTTATGTATTACAGTGAATAAATCGAAGAAAATCCTAACTCAGCCCTAACCCCCACCACCACCCCCCAACCACCAGACTTTCAATATGGGAACATTTATTCCCTTTTCCACCTGGTAATTTCTTTACTTTTATTTTACTATTTTTCATAAAAAGTTTTTATTAAACTTAGGTGATTTTCATATAGGGCCTAGAAATTGTTTTTTGGATTTATTTTCAGATGAGTTTATACGTACATGTGTAGACATATAATCAATGATTAATACCCTGTTCACCATGGTTCACACGAATGCCCATTGTTTAAGTATATAGATCCTTCATATAATATATTGTGTGTCTTTAAATATTCTATTTGAAAGATTTTTTAAAATTAAAAACATTGAATAGGTCTATGAGAAATTAAATCGGGCTCGAGATTAGGGAAAGGGGAGGAAACTTGAAAGGAATTCTGGATGTTTCGGGACCGCGATGTTTCGGGACCCCGACGTTTCGGGACCTGACAACACGTTTCGGGACTTGGGTTAACACGTTTCGGGATTTGGGCTAACACGTTTCGGGACTTCTAAATATTTTGTAAAGGAAATGAAATAAAACTTGTTTACTTGTGTTTTTATGTTTATACATGTATAATTTCTCAGTTTGATACACAATTTATAATTTAAGAAGCACTGATTGGAGTTTTTATTAGTTTTAAAGTTTGCCTGCGGCATGGAGCACGCATGCCGAGAAAATCAAACGCCCGCGGTGTTGTCTCTTTAATTTCTTATTACAGTATTTGATATATTACCTTTATAAAGTATTTGGTTAACACTTGACCAAAATTTAATTCAATTTTTTTTTTAAAATATGTATTTGATTTATTTATAGTGTTTGATACGAGAGTTTGTAGAATTAAAGTCGGGAGACAATCGTAACTGCTGTGTGAAGACCACGGACGTGTTTTTTTTTTTTCTAAGACTTTCCTTATCTCCTTTTTAATAATAATTTTGGGTATTTGATTTCATATTTGTTTACAAAATTTACAAAGGCTCAAGCTAGCACATGTGCAGTAAAAACTTTACGTTTTACGGGTAGTTGTTTTGAATCAGAATCTGAAATATTCCATGTTCAACTTTTTAAACATCTATGTATAAAATTTATAATTATTATTTCAGGTTATATATGCAACAAAATCATAAAAGCAAATTTATACAAAATGTTACGGGTAAGAGAAATGTTATAACTTAAGCTATAAACTTCCTACACATCCATGTATACGTTAAGCAGAGAAGGAAAAAAAAAACGAAATGGGTAAGAAAATCAGCATGTATTTGACATTTCAAATATATATAACGTCAAAGAACAGCTTGTAAAGTAAATTTTACTGAAAGTATGATGTGTATATATATACCATGTATGCAACATTTGGAAATAAACCAAACTTACTAATTTTCAAAATATAAACACGTTTAACTTATTTTTCATCTTAACGTTTCAAAGTTAGACAATTTCTTCGTCTATGCAAAGTACATGTACCCGATGGCTTAAGAAAAATGATGAAAGTAATCGATTTTATTCATTTATTTTAATTAGAAAAAAATTATTCCCACGAAAGTCGCAAATATTCCCGCTATATATTATTGTACTATCAAAATTGTTAATTTGTCTACAATGATACGGATGTCTGAATTTATGTTTACTGTGTATACACAGACTACAAATCTCAATGAAACTCAATTATCGATCTTCTAATATACCCGACCAGTGCGTAAAATTATATGTGGTGTTACATAGTTAGATACATGACAAACTTTAAATAATACTGTAAATAAATACTAAATATTATTTAATTTGCAAATATTAAATTTTTCATGCTACATGTACGTTGTAAAAGTGTTTAAAAGACATTCCACATTGACTACGTTAACAGGTCAACTTAAATTTCAAATTTCCACCTTGCTACATTAAATAGATAAAGCTATGATGAAATTTAAAATGTTTTTAAAGACATTATTTGAAACGATATCAAATGAAATCATGTTTTTTATACCATTTAATGCTTTTTTTAAAGTATGGTATTTTTTTTTTAAATTTAGGGCCAATGTTCTCGCAACATTTGTAAAATATGTTTATTTACAATGTTTTGGAAACTTTAAAAATGTTTTCGTAACATTTCCAGGGAAGAATCTTACAGATACTATGCCAAAACTTTTTGGAAAAAAAATATTTGAAACCGTTTGGGAAAAGGTAGACAAAATCAAGATCAAAACATTTTGAAAACCTTTATATTTTGTTGAACTATTGTTTGATTCTGAATTATTTCATTTACCAATAAACAAACGATATTTTTTCCATATTTTTAGATTTTTATTTTCTTAAAATAATTTCAAAAGAAACCACACAATCTTTTTAGTTCCCATTACCGGCGGCGTCTTTATACATGTACGTAACACCTCCCTATGTACAGAGTATCAGTTGGGATATGTGTACCTGATCCCAGTTGTTGTTTTAACAATTTACTGACATGTTTTTTAAAAGATATATTCGACGGTAGCTGGAGATCACTTGAATATTTTAAAATATCTATCATCAACCTGAGAAGATTAAATTTTGGAACCCCCCCCCCCCCATCACCACACACACAAGAAAAAATAACTAATAAAAAATGATAAAAAAATAAAAAGAAATAAAAATGAATATTGTAAAGATTTATTCTTCTTCGTCTGTTATGAAAAAACCCCCATCAAAGTATATCGATCTTTATGACAATTTTTATTATATATATATATATATATATACATAAAAACTAAAATTCGGATTTAGCTTGAAATATTACGTACTATGTGTAATTAGAATAATATGCTATGTCACCATAATAAAATAATTTGTTTAGATCCCGAAAAAAATTAACTCAAGGCCCGAATCGTCTTTACCCAAGTCCCGAACCGGCTTGTTGCTAGTCCCGAAACGTCGTATAAGTCAGGTCCCGAAACGTCGTGGTCCCGAAACATCGTGCACCCACTTGAAAGTTGAAAATGGCGATGATTAAAAATTTCCGGATATTTCACAAACTAGAACCGCCGTATAGTGTTATTATTGAGAACAAAAATTACGAAGAATCACTACTTCTGGAGTCCAATGCTTTAGCAGTTTTACGTAAGAGAAAAACTTGTTTTTTATTGTACTTAAAAAAGATTGTGTGGAGGGCAATCGATTTATGAAAATAAGCAAATGGATGGGGCAAAGTCAACTTGATTATTTGATAGTCAGAAACTGATAAAAAATAGAACTTTTAATTCACATAAATTTTAACTTCAAGTTAAATTATTTTATCGTTTGGAAAGTGTAAATTGATGAAAGAGGATTTGCAATTTGTGCATAAACTGAATCGATTTTTACCACCACCATGAACGACGAAATGATAATGACTTATAGTTTCTTCCTGAATGTTAGATAATCATGGTAATATAACTGTAATGAACTAGTTTACCCGGAAATCAAATAATTTAAAGAAAACCTACTGTTATTAAATATTGAATGTTTAATTGGAGACACAAATGACATAATACTGTATTTCTCTTGGTTTATATTAATACAGTTTATGCACTTCAGATTCAAGTGAAGCTGAGCTGGTAAAGAAACAATACACAAAAATACTTGATGCCTATGGGTGTCTTGGGGTCCTGAATTTTGCAATTGGTAAGTTTCCTAGGAATTGCAAAAAATACATGTAATCACTATTGGCAGAAATGAAGACAATTAAATACGAAATTTTTAGTATCATTTGGTGAAGTAAGCCGGTAAAGAAAAATGACTGATTAGGTGCTCGTGATTTATATTCTAAAATACAGAGACAAAGAGCGTACTTTAAATGTGATGAGTTATTATTATATTCAGATCCATCAAGAATGACATCAATATTTTATATGTATATATGAATATATATATATATATATATATATATATATATATATATATATATATATATATATATATATATATATATATAATATATAATATATATAATATATATATATATATAAAATATGAATATTTTACATGTGTGTATGGGTACATGTAACATTGTGCGAAAGGAGTTAGAAAATATTCAAAATAACAATAGATAGAACTTAAATTTGTTTTTCATTCTGCTGTTTTGACATTTAAAAAAATGATTTTAATTGTCATCAATGCAAACAGGCTCGATATCTCTCATCACTTTATGTTACAAAATATTAATACAAGTTTAAGGAACTAGCTGCACAGATCCCATACAGTGGGTATTGATGATCCTCATCATTTGACTTTCAGAAAAATTGCAAGTTGGAGAGTCAGACCTCAGTCTTTTCAAACATTTTCACTTGAATTATTTGATTTTGTTTTTCGGAGAAGATAATGTACTTTTCCTAGTACTGGTCACTGGTTGTTTGTCTGTGGGTAAAATATGCGATTCAGAAATATTTCGGATCACATCAACCCACTTCCTATCTCTGAGGAATGGCCAAAGTGATGAGGAGAGGATCTCTGAGGTTAAGAAACTTCTGAATTCGGGGACTTTCTACTTTGCTTGGTCTGCAGCTGGGACCACATGGGATCTCACTTTGTGTGCCCAGAGAAAAATCCAGGAACATGACACGGATAATAGATTTTTCTGGTAGGAATTGTAATACAAAGGAAGAAATGTGTCTTAATTACCATATTAATTTCTAGACAGATTGTTGTAAAGCAAAGAGTATTTTAGACATCTTTTATTTATTCAATTTTCATTTTTTATTCATTTTTCATGAATCTTCTGTTTTATGAATGTCATGTGGCATATGACAAATATTCATGAAAATTGATATTTTCTTACAGTTTGGTTATATTTACGAGAAAAAGCATGTGATGTTTTGTAAAAAATATTAGAATTTTTTTTGTATAAAAATCATTCAACAAATTTTTACTTTTAGGAATAGAATGCTGCATGTACATTTCCAGAGATTTGCTATTGACTGTGACAGGTGGTTGTTTAAGATGATATGTGGAGGTGTAGAGATTAGGACAATTTATGCTGCTCATCGACAAGCCAAGGCTTGCCTTATATCACGACTCAGCTGTGAGAGGGCTGGAACCAGATTTAATGTTCGGGGGACAAATGATGATGGCCATGTGGCCAATTTTGTGGAGACAGAACAGGTTTTAATTTCTACCCCCAAAAATTATTGAAAATTTATGTATTCTTATTCCCATTTTTATATCTTGTGTACAATGTGAAAAGAATATTCCTTAATGTATGTGAACTTGTTTTTTTCTATTATTTTTAAATGTAAATGTACTTATCTAATTAAAATGTAACAAATGATACATGATTTCACCTTATTTATTTCAGGTTATTTTCTTAGATGAAAAAATATCATCGTTTATTCAGACCAGAGGTTCAGTTCCATTATTCTGGGAACAGCCTGGAATCCAGGTAAAATGGATTACCTGTGTCTTCTTACTTTATATTATTAATTTGCAGTTGATGTAGAATGTTTGTTAATATCCATTCTGAAATTGAGAGTACATGTATATTATAACATCACTGTAATGCAGTGATTTTTTAATTAATACAAATGATTCCTTAATTGATAGGTTGGGTCCCATCGAGTGCGGATGTCCCGAGGTCATGAAGCTTCAGCCCCAGCATTTGACAGACATCTTAACATGCTTAAGGACTTGTATGGGGATCAGGTGCTGATAAATCTGCTGGGACAGAAGGAGGGGGAACACATGCTCAGTCAGGCATATCAGGTAAGTGAAACCAGTTAGGGTAGAGTAGGAAAGATAAGTGTAAATTGTTAAATGTTTAGTAAATTAATTGTGATTATTAGTGCTCTTACACAGATACACTGTTTGGGGGATTTTTTTTTTTTTTTTTTGATTTGCAAGTGTTTCTATAATATTTGCTGAATAATGGGTATTACTGTAACTGCTGATGGGAATATTAAATACTTAAGAACATTGTAATGTTTGTAATTTCTACACAACTTAAGACTCTATATGTACTTATTATGGTCATACAAGTACATGTATTATCATTTGAAAGAGTTTGATAGAATAAATGGCAGATGATTATACATTATGTATGTTTTCCACAGAGAGAACATCATGTTTAATTTTGAAATTCTTTTGCTTCTCAGAAACACCACAAAGCTTCCACATTTCATCAGAGGATACCATTGATTAACTTTGACTACCATTCTGAGTGCCGTGGTAGTACTAAGAATCTGGACAAATTAAAACACAAAGTTCTGAAGCAACTGGTGGACTTTGGTTATTTCTACAGTGTGGACAATCAAGGGGATAGGTAGGAGCATGCCAAACTCGCAATTAAATGTCAGATTTAGCTAAATAAATGCCCTCCTTTACTTTGAAATGTTCATTATCGTTAGATATGGAAGATCTGGATTTTAAGTTTTTATTTTACCTTGAAAGGTTCAATTTTAGACATGTTTAAAAAAAATCATTTAATTTTTTTTTATATAGATTTCAGTCAGGTACCATGAGATCCAACTGTTTAGACTGTTTAGATAGAACCAATGCCGTGCAGTCCATGCTTGGGATGGAGGTGATATTTTGCTTTAAATCAATACCTTCATACTCTGTTTTTTTTTAATGCTCTTATATCAGATATTCCGGGGCATATAGTTTTTGGTCTGTGTGTCTGTTTATCTGTTTGACTTCAAATACTTTAACCTCCACCATTATCCATAACTTCTGAATGGTTGGTGCCAGGGCTTTCATATTTCACATGTATATTTCTTGTGATGAGAACTTTCTGTTGATACCAAAATTTTTGACCTCATGACCTTGATCTTGGAGATTGGCTTACTTTTGAAAAGCTTTAACTTTGCCTATGAGCTGCCATATGGGGGCATCAGTGTTTCACAAACACATCTTGTTTTATATTTAGATTACAAATATTTTGCCAATATTTGTAGTGACACATGTATATGTTTTGTTTTTTTAAAACTTCAAAATAAATAAATGAATAAAGTACATGTAAATAAATACATGTATTGGCTATGGTTCTTAAAAATTATTTACATTTTATACATACACTGTATATACATAGATGCTACCTCGTCAGTTGGAGAGTTTAGGACTGGCTGAGAAACAACAGATGGTATCCAGGTTCTTAGACATCTATCGTCAAATATGGAGAGCTAATGGGGACCATGTCAGCAGAATTTATGCTGGAACTGGAGCTCTTGGAGGGGGCAGATCAAAGGTCAAAAAAAAAAGAATCATGATTGAATTTCTTCAATAAACTTAAATTTTAAGATTTTGCATAATTTAAGCAGGAAATGTCTTATTTTTACATGTGCTTACAAAATGGAAATTCCAAACAAAGAATTGAGGTAACTGCTGATACCAATCATACAAAATGTGAAAAATATTTCAACTTTTTCAGTATTCTGATGCCACCCGCTCAGCCTCACGTACCATTCAGAATAACTTCCTTGACAACAGTAAACAGGAAGCTATAGATATTCTGTTGCTAGGCAACACATTAAGGGGAGAGTTAGCAGACAAGGCTCGTGCATTGCTAACTACAAGAATTTTACATGGTTTGTAGACTGATATTTTAGCAATATGGCATGGTATTTTGAAAGCAAAAATATTTCCTGATCTAGAAATCTTGCATATAGAATAATGAACGTATATTATTTGTATTCTTTTGGATAAAATATGTAGAATTTTTTTTCCTTGGAATGATATTTGTAAAATATACATGTAAATTGCATCTGTACTTAAAACAAATAGCAAGCACTTGTTAATCGATTTCCATGTAACAAAGTGTTCATGTAGGGGGTTACTTTTGGTGGAAACTGAAAAAAAATACAAAATGTATAGGTTGGTTGTTTAGTATAATGCTTTTAATGATAGTAAAATTCACAGAAAATTCCACCAGGCAAACACTTCCATGTTTACAGTAGTAAACTTTAAAACTTTCAGCCCCTCCAGCTATTCTTGAGGCAATGGTCAACAGTCATTCTGAGTATACAGAGGTAGAAAATCTGAGGATTTTCATTGGAACCTGGAATGTGAATGGAGGAAAACACTTTAGGAGTATTGCACACAAACACGAGTCGATATCAGACTGGCTGTTAGATGCTGCCTCCATTACTAAAGAAAAGAATCCAGGTACAGTGTACACTCGTATATCAGAAATGAAAAATCTGTAGAACTTGTGTAATACATGTATATATATTTGAATAGAATATTTCAAGGAAAATCCATTTAACATATCTTGTATCAAATGTGATGGTGTCAAGAAATTCTTTTCACATACAGTCAAACCTCGTTATATTGAACTCAATGGGACTGAGAAAAAACTTCAAAATATCCAAGGAATCAAGATATCCAGGGTAAAATACATAGAGAATAAGTGGATAGGACTTCCAAATCACTTCAACATATCCATGGTATTCAAGATATTGGTGTTCAAGATACTGTAGGTTAACTGTACTGTTTTATCATTTTTTTGGTTGGTTTTCAGAAATGGTGGACAAATCGGCCGATTTGGATCGACCAATGGATATTTTTGCCATTGGTTTTGAAGAGATTGTTGATCTAAATGCCAGTAACATCATGAAAGCCAGGTTATATATTTTCCTTCATAAGTTGATATCAATGTTCCTATTGGTTAATATGAGTTCCAATGGAACAGAAAAGTATTGTGCATTATTTTGGTAGTTGATACATGTTTAGCTCAACTGAGCCAGTGGATCACGCGAGACCAAAATAATGTATGCAATCCTGTTCAGAAATACATACAGGGTATGTATAATCAAAGATCGGCCGAAATCTTCTGAACAACAAAACCACAAGTCTGCTATTTTATTCACCAATTATTTTAGTTTAGAATTAGGATTGTACAAATATAGCATTTTGGACCAAAAATGTTAATCCACCTCTGTATCAATATAAAATTAACATACATGTATTGGTACATGTTAGTATAGAAAAGTAGGAAATCATACTCTCAAGAACAGAAATGCTTTATTCTGTCCATTGACTGGTTCAGTATAAACCTAGAGTCCAAATCTGGGATAGAAAGTATGCAAGATTTTTTTGGGGTGAAATCAAGACACATTTAAATACTGTTTGTCAGGTTGACCCATTATAGAAGATTTTTGAATGGTGTATAATGAAAGGCATACCCCTAGTATAACATATCAAAACATATTTTGAGAATTATCTGTGTGTATACTTGTGCAAATAAATAAAGTGTACCTTGTACTGTGAATGTACATATGTAATTGTATGATGTCAGTAACTTCCATACTTTTCCAACAGTACCACGAATGCCAGGGAATGGCAGAAGGAGCTGTTAAAGATTCTCTCTCGTGACCATAAATATGTGATATTGACCAGTGTCCAGTTGGTGGGGGTCATTCTCTATGTGTTTATACGTCCTCACCTGGCTCCATTTATCAGGTATGTACTCTCAATTCAGATGCTTAAATATGAAACTTCAGTTAGTTTTCACATGCAGTTTTCTAAATGTTTTGACTGTCATTACATTTGCTTTTGATGAAATGAAACATGCTTGTAGAGTGTGAAAAATTGTGAATGCACCACAGGACTTATGAATGCATTTTTAGCTCTACTGGTCAGAGACCAGAAGAGCTTATTATACCCCCGCTCCGAAGGAGAGGGGGGTATACTGTTTTACCCTTGTGTGTCTGTCTGTCCGTCAGTCCGTCCGTCTGTCTGTCTGTCCGTAACAAATTTTGGTCACAGTTTTCTCAGCAACTACTCATTGCAGATGCTTGAAATTTTAGCACAGTCTTTGTTTAGGCATGCCATATGGTGGGATTCATTTTTGTACTAATCTGATGTCAACTTCCTGTTTATCTGTGCATCTGTCCGTACCATACATAACAAACTTTGGTTGCAGTTTTCTCAGCAACTACTCAACGCAGATGCTTGGAATTTTAACACACTCTTTGTTTAGGCATGCCATATGGTGGGATTCATTTTTGTACGAATCTGTTGTCAACTTCTTGTTTATCCATGCGTCTGTCCGTACCATACATAACAAATTTTGGTCGTAGTTTTCTCGACAACTACTCAACGCAGATGCTTGAAATTTTAACACACTCTTTGCTTAGGCATGCCATATGGTGGGATTCATTTTTGTACTAATCTGATGTCAACTTCCTGTTTATCCGTGCGTCTAACCGTACCATACATAACAAACTTTGGCCGCAGTTTTCTAAGCAACTACTCATCGCAGGTGCTTGAAATTTTAACACACTCTTTGTTTAGGCATGCCATACATTGGGATTCATCATTTTTGTACAAATCCGATGTCGACTTCCTGTCTATTCGTGTGTCTGTCCGTATCATACATAACAAATTTTGGTCGTAGTTTTCTCATTAACTACTCATCGCTTGAAATTTTAGCACAATCTTTGTTTAGGCATGCCATATGGTGGGATTCATTTTTGTACGAATCTGATGTAAACTTCTTGTTTATCCGTGCGTCTGTCCGTACCATACATAACAAATTTTGGTCGCACTTTTCTCAGCAACTACTCATCGCAGGTGCTTGAAATCTTAAAACAATGTTTGTTTAGGCATGCCATATGTTGGGATTCATTTTTTACTAATCCAATGTCAATTTCCTGATTATCACTGTGTTTGTCCATAACTGAACTTGTGTATTCACATCAGAGCGGGGGTATTATTAGTGAGCATTGGCTCACAGACTTCTTGTGTATGATGTCTTCCTGTCTGTAAACAGTTTTTCAAAATCCTACAGTTATGGACCAAATATCAATAAAATTTGGTATACAAGCAGACTACACTGAGATACATAATTTTATGTATACTTTTGAATACAGGGATGTTGCTACAGACTCTGCTAAGACAGGATTAGGAGGTGCCGCTGGTAACAAAGGGGGCGTGGCCATACGTTTTCTGTATCAGAGCACATCATTGTGTTTTGTTTGTGCTCATCTGTCTGCAGGACAGTCACAAGTCAATGATCGCAACAGCGACTACCACGAAATTTCACGCAAAATCTGCTTCCCAATGGTGAGAGTTTTTTTTTATTGTAATTTGGTATATGCTAATTCATATCATCTCCCTGCACTTTTATTTTATCATTTATTCTTAATTATCATCAAAGCAAAATACAGATGTATTTTTATAACCCTATCTTTCATACAAGGCAGATGGTAGCTTCTTTCTTAAGAGGATAAAAAAATCTTTCTCTTTAATCATTATAATTATTCTTTCATTTTTTAAAACATTATAATTCAACATAATAATTTAAATATTACATATTAAATAATAATCATTCTGTTGATATACAGGAACAGTGTATGGTAGGATATTTACATATTTAGCATGTATATTGATATTGTATGATGTATGTTTCAGTGTTATTTGTCATTGAGATGTATGTTTGGGTTTAGTTGAACATTATCCTTTGGATGTTTTTATAAAGACCTGAATTCAGACATTTAAAGAAACCTGGATGTTCCTATTTATTATTCTCTGTATGCATGCTTGTAACCAGAGTAATACATTTAGATAGGAAAATACTAACATCTTCAAATTATTTTGTATTTGTATTAAGTAAATGGGGTACATATAATGCCAAGTAATAAAAAGACAGCAGGGAAATGCAATGTAGTGTAGCAAAGGCACACCAATTCATGAAATGAATCATAAGACCAAAAAATGTTTGTTTCCTGGAACCGGCTTTTATGTAGAAAATATATGTACAGTCAAACCTTGTTATCTTGAACTCGATGGGACTGAAAAAAACTTCGAGATATCCAGGGGTTTGAGATATCGAGGGTAAAATACTTCAGAAATACGTGGATAGGACTTTCCAATCACTTCAACATGTCCATGGTATTCGAGATATCCGTGTTAGAGATACCAAAGTTAAACTGTATATATGCATTCATGCACATGTATATATATGTATAATGAAGTACTTGCAACAAAGACAATTTGGCATAGTTAGGATACATGTAACACATTCCAAAGAATTGAACAGCCACGTCAATTACCCTGTAGTTCTTATTTTTTGTGGCCACAATATTGACAAAGGTAATTTTAGCAGGAAACAAGCAGCTGCATAATATACATGTATACTGTGAATTCACTAATTGTCGTGGGGGTTTAATATTTGATGTTTTCATGATATGAAGAGACCCATGAATTCATGTCCTCCTCAAATGTAAAATTTCAAATAAATAACAACTTATCACTTCATCGTCCAAGAAATCAAATCCCCACAAACTGATATCATTTCCCTAAACAGCGAAAATTTGATCCCACGAAAATATGTGATTTTACAGTAGTTTTAAAATGCCTTATATTATATTTTATCCAGTTCCATCATCATATATTTTGGAAAAGAATCGGATTATAATACCCAGTGCAGCATTTATATTTAAAAAACTCATAGAGGGCTGTTTTAGAAGGTTAATCATGTACAGTAAACAAACTTTTTTTTTTTTTTCAAGGCTTTAGTTACAGTGTATATATGTTTTTGTGTTAGACACTTTGTTATGCAGTATTAGGTGAACTGTATATAAGGTTTTTTTTATCATTTGTATTACATTATTTATTACTCAGTGTTGTCAAGATGTTAGATATCTGTGACTATTACTTGTACAATAGAAGATTCATGTAGTTTAGTGTTTCATGGTATCACCATTTAGTAGGTAACACCTATGTAGCATCTACTTAACCTTTTTGGTAACAAAGGTCAAGGTGATGAAGTAACTGATCTAGAATATTTTGACATTTTAGTCTTATAGGAGGTGCCCAGAGGAACGGGTGCCCAAAGGTCAAGGTCAGAGTAATTAAATAGTTCATATCAGTGCTATAATCCTGTGTGGAAAACCATTTGACCTTTTTTCCTCATACTTGCTGTGAAGAAGTTTGATGGCCCAGGGTCAAAAGGTCAAAGAAAATGATTAGTGTTCCTAATGTTGTGAACACCATATCAATTTAGTATGTGTGAAGCAGTGTTCTCTGAAAGAAAGCATGATTTGATAGGATCCTCCTTTGTGAGGTACCATTGAATTCTTTTATATTAATTTCTTATTGCATGCAATGTGTTGGCTCATTATTGGAGACACTGTGTATGTCATTCAAAATGGAAATTGCATTACTTCAAAAGGTCTTTGTGTAATGTGTTTTAAACAGGAAATAGAAAAATAATGCACATTTTTTGCTTTTTTTTAGATTACACCAACCCTTCGGAAGGTTGCTGAAACATTGCAAACATGTATTCATTTAATCCTGTTACAAAACAAACCATTTCACTTTCATGCACATGAAACCTTTGCTTAATAATTACACAAATTGTTTATGCTTCTGATTTTAAGAATATTTCACTAAGCACTGCTATTATTTAAGAAAAATTATGACAAAATACCGGTAATTTTTGTTTCCAAAATTTTAAAATCTTGAAAGTGAAATGATTCCAATACTTTCCCTATTTATCAAACATAACTGGAACTCTCCCTCGCTCTTCAGTTGATGATGTATAAATTGCTGACTTCCATTTTAGCTTTTCAGAGCTACACCTTCAAATATACAGTTCAGAACAATCTCTTCTTTGCAAAATGTATACAATACATATAATATATATATATACTGTATATACAGAGGAGTCTTAATGAAGTCGAAAAATTTAAAACATTTATGATAAAGAAATGACCAAATTTTACCTTGTAGTTGCTCTCCACAAATAAAATTGTAGATTTTGAGGATAGGGTTTTGCATTGAAATCTATCGATCTTTTACAAATTTACATTTCCATGAAATCTTTGCAAAGTGGTAGTCAGCTTTGGGTCTTCATCAATTACCCTATACATTCTTACTGAGGGATAATATTAACATTGTAAAATGTTTTCTCTGTGAAAATAAAACACACAAAAAAATCTTCAAAAAATAATTTATTTCCTCTGTAATGTTCAGTATAATTGTTTTACTAGATGGAATGTAAAACATGGAAATATACTAAAAACAATTTTTTCATGGAAATAGAATTACTATAAAACCATAATTTTGGCAATATCTACCAACCAATGCAAAGAGCATGCATTTATATAACAAAAATAAATTCTGTACAATACTTTTAATTATTATTTTCTTGTGTACTAAATATTTATACATGAACTGTACATTATACAATGTACCATATTTAAATTTTGAAAACATAACAATATGAAACAAGAAAGAAAGGGGTAACAAGATTTCATCATGAAATAATACATATTAATTTATTTTCATCTGTACTCAATATTTTACACCAATTCATTTATTCCTGGATCTATATGAATCTTTTGCACTGATTTTTGTAGGGGAGGACAGTAGGATCCCATGACTATGTATTCTGGTGTGGGGACTTCAATTACAGAATTGACCTTCCTCGAGAGGAGATCTTGAGTCTGATCGAGGACAAAAACTGGGGTGCTCTCCAGGCATGTGACCAACTCAAAGTCCAGAAAGAGGCTGGCAATGTAAGTCTTGGAAGTTCTGATACATGTGGTGTTAAAGGGGACTAATGTTAAAAGAATTCTTATCCTGCTTGATTAAAGATCATTACTTGGTGTAATTTGAACATACAAGTACTCTGATGCCATTTTGTTCTGTGTACAGTGTTAGTTTGGCTTAAGAATTCTTTAGTTTGGTTCCTTTTTGGTTTTTACAATATTCTATTCATATTGATTTTGTGTTTTTGTTAAGTTACTTTCACTTTAAAAGTACTAGTATATTTTCCATGTTTTGTTCTACCCCAGAAAAACAGATTCTGAAATAATAGGACCGTCTACACTATAGTTCTTCTAAAATATCAGTCAGTATTTTAAGAATTATCCAGATATATTGAAACTACCCTCAACTGTATTGCTGTATTTTTATTAAAAGGTATTTAAAGGCTTTAGTGAGGGCCCTACAGACTTTGCCCCGACCTACAAGTACGATCTTTTCTGTAACGACTATGATTCCAGTGAGAAGTGTCGCTGTCCAGCTTGGACAGACAGAATCCTCATGAGAAGAAAGCCCCTCATTCACCATCAGCCCAAGTGTGAGTGCTTGTTATGTATAAATTTAGTGATTAACAATCAATAATATTCTTATACAAAAATAGACTGTATGTATTCAAAAACTACTTTCCATGACAAGTACTGTGTATGTACTTTATATACATGTATTTGTTGTTACCCCTTTATGTTCTTATTTATTTATGCCATAAAAGTTTATAAGGAAATAAGCATATAAATGTAATACACAGAAATGCTATTTGTGTTAATAATACCCCCAGCAAATGAAGTTTGGGGAGTATATAGGAATCACCTTGTCTGTCTGTCTGTCTGTCCATCCAGCTGTCTATCTGTCCTTGTTATATAACTTTGTAACGAAGAATTATTGGATGCTCATACTTGTTACAAAGATTGTTTATGATGTAAGGGTGTGTTTTTACCTTGACCAAAGGTTATACTGGCAAGTTCAAGGTCACTGGCAGAAAAAAGTGTCCCATTTTCAACTTCCTAAAGGAGAAACATTGAAAGTTCATACCTCATACAAAGGTTGCATATGACCTAAAGGTTTGTCATGATTTAGACCCAGGGTCATTTTATCAAGTCCAAGGCCACTTTAGAAAAATATTTAAATTCCTGTCTCGACCATATCTTGTAATGGAGAACATCAGAGTTTCATACTCATCACAGATATTGCATATGACCTGAGAGTATGTTATGATATTAACCCAAGGTCATTACAGCAACTTCAAGATCACTGGCAGAAAAAGTGTATTTTTTATGTTCAGTCTATTATTCTCAAATGGAGGCTAATTGGAAGTTGAAACTTGACACAAGGATTGTTTATGACTTAAGGATATGTCTTGAGCTGACCCATCCAGGTCATTTTCGCAAGTCTTTGGTCACTGGCAAAAAATAAAATGTGAAATTTGTGTCTGGCCTCTAACTTTCTAATGGGAAAACACTGGAAGTTTATACTTAACACAAATATTTCTTATATCCTCAGGATGTGTCTTGATCTTCACTCAAGGTGATTCTGGCAAGTTCAAGGTCACTGGCAGAAAAAGTATAAAATTTGTGTCTAGTTCATTACTCTCTAATGGATAAGTACTGGAATTTTAAACTTCAAACAAAGATTATTTTTGAGCTGAAGATATTTCATAACCTTGACCCAAGGTCATTTTTGCAAATTCAAGATCAATTTAGAAATGTGTATATGGCACTTCTAAAAAACTGCAGTGGGGATTATAATTTTGTGAGCTTGCTCCCAGCACCTCTAGTTCCATGATTGAATGATACAGTACCAGATCTATTTTGAATACGCTATTTTGAATACCAGTGTTACATGTAGAACTTAGTAGTCACAGTTTTTCAGAAGTTCTTAGGGAATGTTAAACCAGGGAAAAATAGTTTTATATTTTATTAACAGTAAAAGATAATAAGAATGTGTTAGGTCTTTTAAAACTTTATCATTGTTTGGTTTTGTAATTTCAGTGTTACAGGATGGACCAGTTTGGAATCCTGGGAAAATGATTTTATACAACAGGGTAGAACTAAAGACATCAGATCATAGGCAAGTTTAGTGTGATAGTCAACAATGGAGAGAATTCCAATTTTAAGTACATGTATTTATTAACATTGTGTAATAGGTCATGTGTTGTGATTAATAAGTTTTATAGCTCAATAACTTAGGGAGTGGGGGGGGGGGGGGGGTAGGATGATAGATATTCCTTAGCTCTATTGTGATGGAAGTAGAAAATAAAAGTTAGACTTTTTCCAGTATTTTTATAAGGATCATTGAAAAAAGATTGAATGGAAGAAATTAATCATAGATTTTCTGGTGTACTAACTTTCAATAATTTCTACATCTTAAAAGAGAAGGATTTTTGTACATATGTATAATTATTTGATGAGATATACCGGTACATGTAATCTGTTACAGAAGTGAATCTGAGTGTTTGTGTGGGAGTGTCATATAAAGTTGTTTCAGAAACTGTGTTTCAAATTACAAATACACAATCGTATGTGTTACTTTAGGCCGGTGCTGGCACTGTATGACATTGACACATTGAAAGTGGTTGAAAACAAGAAGGAGCAGAAGTTACAGGAAATAGTGAGTCAGCAGGGCCCACCAGATGGCACTGTTATTGTTTCTGTGGAAACGGAGGAAATGGAACAAGACTTAGTGGAAGCCATTGTTCACTTCTTCTCAGATGTTGGAGAAATTGTTCTTATCAGGTAGACATATTGTTTACAAAGTGTTTAATACCTTTTTGTACCTGTAAAAATTTTAAGTAGAGAAATAAATGAGGTACCTTTTCAGAGTTCATACATGTATTTTGTTGATTTACAGATTTGTAGAAGCTGATTTGTGGTTAATCTTCAAGACAGGACAGTTTGCACTGAAGGCATTGAACTATGATGGCACAGAGGTAAAATGTTTAGGTCACTGAGTCACTCAAGTGACCTATTGCTATCTGTTTTTGTCCGTCATCATGCTTCAACATTCAGGGTTCGACACTAACGGTAGGCCGCTAGCCCGGGACACCTGAAAATTGAGGTCAGGCTTCTAAACATGTCTTCGAGCTTGTCCTGCAGGGCTACTGCAATTTATTATCAAACACTCACTCAGAGCATTTAAAAATTAATTTAAAAATGCACAAGTCCCGTCGATTTTGTTACTTTCCTAAAAACACCCCATGTTTCGCGATTCTCGGTAACTTACCTTATCGCTTTACATTGCACGACACATCCACGTGTGAAAACCAACCAGTTATCAAAAGACTTATCAGATACAAAAAAAAAATTAAAGAGATAAACATCATGTGTTAATTAAAAAATTAGCAATTAAATTGATAAAATTATCCTTATTGAAGAAATATACGTGTTGAAAACGTTGCATGGTTTTCCTCATCCATGTCGTAGCATTGTTGGTGGGTGCATTAGGAATTGACAGATTGATAGAACGGCAATTTTAAAAGCTTCCATGAGCATTTATTGTGTTTGACAATTCCTCAAAATTAAAAAAAGAATAATTACTGCATTTGTAATCCCCTACAGTTTGGGTTGTTTCAAATCACGTGTGTACATGACCGCAACCGAACAAATTGCACACGCTGCACACTTGCTGAATATGTCAGATATTTTTGTAACATGTAGCTTTCTTTAAATGCAAGGAATATAAAAGTTAAAGTATGAAAAAGCAACAGCTATTAAAGATTACTAGATTAGCCTGAGTATATATTGGTCAGTGTTGATCTTTTTAATCATACACTGAAATACATTTCACACAAATCTATACAAGCATGCCGGTACATTCATGTTATACAGAAATAATACATGTAATACTTTGTTTCTGATATCAATTTTCATTTTCATACATTTTTGACTGTATTGAAGATGAACTTGCCTTGTAATGTAGATCTGGTTTTTCATATACAAAATGTACTTGACTTTTCTTTAATACTAAATAACCAGTTACGAACTTTTTAATCAGATTGTTTGCAGTCAAAATGTAAAAGGTGATTCAGAATACCCTAAATGACTGTAAATGTGGAATTTTTCAATAAGAAAAACGTCTTTTGTTCAGTCATGAAGTGACATATAATTTTACCCAAAAATGTAGCCAGAATGCAGGATTTGGCAACTCTAGTTTTAAAATTTTCTGGGGGAGGCCCCCCATACCCCCTCCAGCAGGAGGGGGAAATCCCCTCCCGCACCTACCCCCCTCGTCGCTTTGTGACTCGGCCAACAGCCTTTGGCTGCTGGACAACTAAATCATGATCAGGGCTAGTAGAAATTAGAAATTGCTAGCCCTGTGGGCGATTATGGTTTAAAAGTTAGTGTTGATCCCTGACGTTTGAACATTTTCAGCTTCTCCTCAGGAACTGTTCAACCAATTTCGGCATGTAGCATCAGTGAGAGTGAAGGGGAACAAAAATTATGAATTTCTTGGTCCTTGCACCCCTGAGGCCTAAGGTCTGGGGCTAAAAGCATCAAAATCAATGAAATCTTTAAGAAATCTTCTTCTTTACTCCCAGATATCTAGCAGTCAAACTGTTGGCATGGTTGTAATAAGCATTGAACCTTCTACAGAAATTGTGAAATTCATGGCCACAGGGTCAGGGGTTATGGTGTTAGGGTGGGGCTCTGTTGAATATATAGTTAAAATGCATTATTTCTTTAAAAATCTTCTCCTCTGGTCCTGGTATTAAGCAAACAAACTAATGCAGTTATGATGAGCAAGGGTGCCTCTTCCAAAATTGTGAATTTCATGGCCCTTGGGTCAGGAGTTCTGGTGTAAGGATGGGGCTCTTTTGATTATATAGTAAAAATTCATTAATTCTTTGAAAATTTCCTCCTCTGCTCCTGGGTATTAAGTCGATGAAGTAAGTGCATGGTTATGATGAGCAAGGGTGTCTCTTCCAAAATTGTGAAAAATGTGGCCCCAGGGTCAAGGTTCAGTGGGTGGGGCTGTTTTGATTATATAGCGAAAATGCATTAATGCTTTGGAATTCTCCTCCTCTGCTCCTTGGTATTAAAGAAACAAACTAAATGCATAGTTATGATCAGCAAAATTCCAAAATTGTGAAATGTTTGGCCCCGGGGTCAGGGGTTCCTGTGAAGTGGAGGCACTACTGATTATGTAGTAAAAATGAATTATTTCTTTGATAATCTTCTGCTCTGCTTCTGGATATTAAGAAAACAAACTAAGTTTATAGTTATGATGAGCAAGGGTGCCTCTTTCAAATTTGTGAATTTCATTGCCTCTTGTTTAAAACAATTCAATTGTGGGAAAGTTGTTACATGATAATCAGGTGACCTATAAGGCCTTTGGTCTCTTGTTTATTAATAGGATGGCTATTTTCAGTCCAGTTTTATGACCTACTTACAGCTGAATTTTGAATTATTTATTATTTTCCTATGAATCAAGTTAATTTTGTAAGGAAAATAACACTTATATTTCACTTGCATGAATGTTTTTGACATGGACATGAAAAACCCAGCCTATCTTTGATAGATAAATGGAACTACAGTAAGAACTCGACTAAAGACACAGAACTGGCAGGCTCAGATACAAGAAGAGCTTAAGATCTGTATAGTTAAAACTACCCCACTCTACAACCAGTTCTCTAACAGCCTGCTCGGAGAGGACTTCAGCACACCGGCCATGGAGTTTGAGTCAGGTCAGTGGCCTTGTTGTTTCTATGACATAAAACTTTTGCCTGAAGTGATAGCAAAAGAAAGGGTGAAGTCATTTTCAGCATGGTTTTAGTTTCAATTTTGTGACTAGTGTGAGTAAATTATATTACTTTGTTAAGATGGTGCAGAGCATTGGTTGTATAATTTTTTGTTGTCTATTGTAGAAGAAGAGGATGACGCAGAAGTACAGGAATCTTTGTTAGACACTCCTTTTGAACATCTAAGATCAAGTTCACCAACAGGGTCAGGTAGGTCAGATATCCAGGTATAATCTATAGCTACACATAACAAGGTCAGATATCCAGCAATAATCTATAGCTACACATAACAAGGTCAGATATCCAGCAATAATCTATAGCTACACATAACAAGGTCAGATATCCAGCAATAATCTATAGCTACACATAACAAGTGAAAGGAACATTGATATTTCTGTATATAGTTTTGTAGACACTTATTATTTATGGAACAATTTGTGTAACATTTTAGGCCGATACAGTCCATATTCTGATGATGGGTTTTTAGATACTCCTTCTGCCCCCCCTCCAAGGCCCCAACAGGTGAACAGACCCCCAATTCCTGCCACAGGACCCAACAGAGAGTCACCAGAACCATATACAAGTCAACCTAAACAACCAGGACCAGAGGTATGAAAGAAGTAAAGAAGTCAAGTTGGTAAAGCATGAGGAGGCATTTCAATTTCCTTTTAGATTTACTTTAGCAAGGGTCATATTTCTTGTCTATTGCTCCTAATTCTTGATCATGCATAATGATGCTGCAATAAATAATTCAGCATAAAATTCTGTTACAAATATTACAGCCTGGGTCCAGACCAGGACCTCCACAACGCCCCACAGGACCCCCAGCCAAACCACCGCCCCCACAGAGACCAAAAGCTCCTCCCTTCAAGCCATTACAAACTGCTGCTAAATCCATTGAACCTGGTACATAGTGCTTTAACTGTTTAAGAATTATCATAGTTATTACAACATGTACATGTTTATGTGAATTTTAATTCTTGGTAAGAGCATTATGGAAGGATGTACATGTAGTTAACTACAGAACTTAAAAATATAGAAAATCTACTCAATTTGGGGAATTAATGTACTTTTCTTGAAAATCAATACATGCATGTGTTTTAAAAAAAACAAGAAAAATTCTTGCTTGACTCAAATTTGTGTATACATACAGTTTTTATAAAGCAAATGCATGAAACCACTGGGCTTTTCAAAGAGGTTATCAAAAGTGAAATATAAACTAATGATATGAAATTGTGTATTTATAATAACATTTGCATGTACATTTAATATATTATAATCATAATATACTTTTTCTCAATAAGAATTTAAGAAAAGATCTTAAAATTATTTTTTAATATGTGTATCTTTATATGCACCAGTATTTATATTTTCCATGTAGATGTCAAAAAGCCACCTCCAGTTGTTAGAAAACCAATCAGCTCACACAGTATAAAGAAAATCAAGATAAAACAACAGCAAACAACGGTAAGTTCTTTTGGTAGAGTTCTTATAGGACACTTTAGTCACTGATGTGACCTATGACCTACCAAAATTATGAAATTCATGGCCTATGAGTTGAGGGTTAAAGCCCAATGGTGGGGCTAATTTGGTTATATATTAAAAGTTCATTTAACACAATATTTTGAATATTTTCTTCTTCACCCATTGTCTTATAGCAGGCAAAAATGTTTGCATTATTATAATGAGCAACCTTGTGAAATTCATGCCCCCTGATTCAGGGTTAAGATCACTTTGGAAGTTGGGTAAGTTAGTAATATTGAAAATACATTATACATGTACCTTTAAAAATCTTTCCTTTTTTTTCTTATGGACACTTTATAGTCAATATGTTTGCATGATTGTAATGAGCAGATAGCCCTTAACCAAAGTTTTGAAATAGGTCTCCATTGCTCAGACCCCAGGGTGGGCCAAATTTATATCGATATTGAAAATGTATTACATTATATCTTTTAAAATTTTGTTTACTCCGGAGCATCTAGAAGATGAAATTAATGCAATGTAAAAAATTCACATGATTCCAGTCCAAGATGGTTTTGAGTTCCTCATAGCCTAAGAAACTCATAATACCCAGAGTCAAGGCCCAAGGGCTCCTTTTTAAAGCATTTTAGTCTCCATAGAATTCTAAGAATGTCAGTACCTTAGTGTATAGAACATGTATAAAAAGACAATCTTTTTCTAATTGGTGACTTCCTGCATTTATTCTGTTCATCTTCTCAGAATTAATTTTTTCTAATTGGTGACTTGCTGCATTTATTCTCAGAATTTATCAATTTCCCTGTATTTACATGTATAGACCACACAGATGCAGCCAATGAATATTGGTCTTCCTACAAATGTGACTCACCATGGACATGCTACCTCTATAGAAGATGCACAGTCTCTGATTGAAAAACTGATGGAGGGGGGAGGTAACTCATTACCCCCAGCCCTGCTGCCAAACACAGGTGAGACACCTTATCTGGGATAGCATGACAAAGTACATGTATTCATTTGGCTCTTGATTTTTAGCTCTACTGTTTAAAGATCAGAATAGTTTATGCATTGAAAACTATGTCTGAAAACAATTTTCCTTTCAGTTAAAAAAAGCAGACTAGTACATGAAGAAACTTTTTCATTTTTTTTCATTGCCTTGTGAATTATGAGATTTAAAATATAGACGTCCATGCATATCTAAATAAAAAATTGTAAAAATTGAATTCCATGGAAATTTTATGAAAGCTATGGTAAGTTCTGGGCCCAGGCTGCAATATTTATAATATATATAATTACAAAATGTAAATAGAAACATAGTAAAATTTAAAGGTGTTTCTGCCTTTTTAGATAATAAAATGGTTAGAAGCCAGACAAGTGAGTCTGTCACAGCTAACAAACCTACACTAGAAGCACCAAAACCTGTACCAAGACACAGAAGTACAGAGAACATTTCATCCATGACAGAAGCCCCACAGCGGCCCCAGCGACCAAGAGACAGCCCTCCTAGTGTACAGCCCCGTAGTGATACTCGCCCTGTTCCTGCCCCAAGGAGGGAGGTTCAGAGTATGGCCATCCATGGAGGGGATCAACTCAAGCCCACCAGGGGGCCTCCTCCCATTCCACCGACTCGACCTCAGAGCTGGATGCCCTCAACTGGAACTGTACCAGATGATCAGACATATGCAGTTGTAAATAAAACATCAAAATCTATTCCTGATAGCTCTAGTCAGAACATACTTGATGTCCCTTTGTCGCCTGGTAGCAGTGATACAGCACAAAAAGATCCATTTGACACATCAAGTGTTCCTAGTCAGTTTCTAAATCAGGCACCACAAACTGCTGGTAAACCTCCACCCAGAGTTAGTAGACCTCCACCTCCAGTACCTACCCGACAAGTGTTCAACGACCAGGATATCACAGCTAGTGCTTCCGCAGACCTACAAAGTGACCAAGCACAATTAAACGACATTCAGAGCAATTCTGAAAATCAGGCAGATTCTCCACAAATTCCTTCTTTTAGCCCTCCAGAGCTCCCATCCTTTGAGAACACTCATGAACAGTTTACATCATCTATGGGTTCCCTTCCCGACCCAATCACAGGAGGACCCCCTTCTGAATCCCCACCTCCTTTACCATTCGATGGACCCCCTTCAGAACCTCCACCTCCTCTTCCTACAAAAGGTCCCCCCTTGGAGCCCCCACCATCTCTACCATCTAATGGTCCCCCATCTGAGCCCCCACCCCCTCCACCAATCGATGAAGATGACCAGTTTGCAGAATTCAAAGCCAATTTTAATCATTTTCAAAATTCATCACCACCTCCTGAAAGTTTACCTTCCGATCCCCCTCTTACTGCCCCACCCCCTATTCCCAAGGGACCTTCTTCCAATGGACAAGCACCTAGAAGAGATCTTCCTCCTGTTCCTACAAGGGGGCCAGCCACAGGGCACCCTCCTATTCCAAAAAGACCAATGAATTTACCCCCTGTGCCACCAAGGTCTTGAAATAATCAATGATCATGTAATAATTCTGCTTCTAAATAACTTGGCTTTGATAAATATCAGCAGTAATAAGAAATCAGTCTTTTTGTTTTATTTGTGTAGGCATGTTAATAATGCAATCCTAGAGGTTTGTTATTGGTGTGTTCTTTGTTATGTTTATAACGTTACATTTTTATTGTGGTAGAACCACACCTAGACTGTGATAATACTGGACTCGGGCATGGTTTATTGGATTGATACCTCTTTTTTGTTCCAACTGCTTGTTTGGATTAACTCAAGTCATTCAATACCACGTCATTATTTTGAATGCAATGCTTCCACATAATATCTGAAAGTATTGACTAGTCATATTTATGATTTATGAAGTAAATTATCAGGATCTCTAAAAACTCAGATAACTTTATATACATGTACATGTAGGTATAAATATGCAGTCATGATGCCACTACTTTTTTTATATGTACATTTATTTATTATTAACAGTGATTAAGATGCAGTGAGTTTTAGCTAACACAAAATAAACATGAAAATGTGATTTCATTTTTCTCCCAGCAGATTTCATTCCAAATCCTACATTCCTTCTCTCTTATCCGTAGTCTTTGGTTGTGTCACAAGTATATAAATTTGTCAGTTTTTTTTTTAGAGCAATTGACACATGTACCATATCATTTAATTTCAGTTTTGATATCATTTGTCATTCCAAAAGATTTGTTAAAATAGTAATTATTTGTGTTTGTCAGAATACTGGCTTGCAAGTTAATCAGTTATCCATGTTTTTGCAACTTACAACAATACTGTGTTATACATGTACATGCATGTCCAATGGTAGACCAAATATTTTTTATTATTATTTTGCTGGCTAAGAATTTACTCTGACATAATATGTAATTGTGTGCAATATAAAAAAAGCTTTGACCTTAAAATTACTTAAGTGTATTGTCCTACTTTAAAAGAAAACTTATTTTCTCTGTGCTGTATTCTCTTAAGATTTTAGTACATATCACCTGTGTTAAATTACTTGTGAAAACTATCACAGTACATGTGTACTAGTAAAGAATTAGAACCATTCATTTGCTGATTGTCTAGATCTTTTCTTTGTTTTAACTGATACTACTCTGCATGTACGAGTTCAAGGATAGTATTTTCTGTGATAGTGTAAAGGTGAAGTGCTAGTTACCAACAGTAACATAGTGATATATGTAACAGTAATAAAATGCTATTTGAATCAAAGAAAGTTGCTGTTTGTTTTTAAACAATCTGAAAAGGTATTCTGAATTGGAACTTGGTAATTCTCGAAAATAAATTCCCGTTGCTATGCTTAGAACTACACTGTACATTTATTTGTGGCTTATAACTCAACTTTAGTAAAAAATAAAACCTTAGGATGAAAACGTATTTGTAATTGATGTCAACAATATCTTATTTTCGACCTTTTGTCTACAATTACTAAAAAGCCCTTTTTCACTTTGCAAACGAATAGTCCATAGCAGGATGATAGAAAATGTGACAGACCAGGCCCCAGAATCAGGAAGTAGTTTTAAGACGAGACAAAATTTCAGTCATTTGTAAGATGATTTTTTATAGACTGTCGGACACAATTTCAAATTTATTTTTTCTGTACTATTACATGCATATTTAAATCAATTTACATCTGATTTGAGTCTAAAACTGATTCAAGATCCTAGGGTTAGATCAGGATTCAAACTTGGTCCCTCTTATTCTATATCAGTTTGTTAGATACTCCAATAGTTCACAAACTTGCCTGCCCTCCGCACACAGTACTGTGTAACAAGAGAGGAGAAAAATGCAGTGGACCAGACCAGGATTTTAACCTGGGCCCCCTGAATCTCCAGTCAGGTGCTTAATAACAGTCATCTGGCCACCGGCCATCGAACCCGTCTGACCGCCATAACTGAATGAGTAATTATGTTCATGTATGTCACCTGCATTCTTTGTTGCAAAGGATAATAAAACTCATGATTTATTTCTTTATTCCATTGGATGATATACCTTGCCATTTTAATTAACCAAAGCCGTTTCATCATTAACAATAGGCTCATGGGTCTTAATGATCACACAAGTCACGTTTCCCTTCCCTGGTTTAGTGAACCAAAAGTTATTGATTTTTTTTCCCCATAACAATAAATGTTAACTGTATTTGAACACTCCGAGGTGAACTGTTCAACTCTGCAACAGGAAAGAAGACAATGTATGGCTGGACTGGGAATCGAACCCGGGACCCCTGATCACTTGTCAGGTGCTCTACCGACTGAGCTACCCAGGCTGATATCCATGGCCCAAACCATTACATTCCTCCCTCCCTAAATTGTCTTCGCCCTGGAAGACACAACCCAAGTTCTTATTGCTCCTGGCAGGACTTTCACCTGCAAGTCCAGAGGTGGTCAATAACACCAAATCCGTAACAGGAAAGGAGAAAATGTATGGCTGGGACAGAAATCGAACCCGGGACACCTGCATCACTAGTCAGGTGCTCTACCGACTGAGCTACCCAGGCTGATATCCACAGGCCAAAATACATGTAATAACATAAAACAATTGTTCTTTCATTCTTTATCACATTCACTATTCATAACATTTCAATAATTTATCAATTCAAATCACAATACATTTCAACTTTACATAAAAATCATATTCCTTATAATCACAATCATATCAGTCTCCTTTTTAACAATAAATGGCATTTTCCTTTCCATCTCCAGGTGTGGTCTACGGGTTCTAGTGTTTTTTACCTATGAAGAAATAAAATATGCAATATAGAACTTGGGAGAGAAAATTCATCTGACATAAAACCTTTGGTCTTTTTTTTATGTCAAACACTTTCATTTTAAATTTAGAAATAGCTAGTTTTATATAAATACATCATGTATCTGAGCTCGCTTGGAACCAAGAAGAAAAGAGATATACTCTGAATTCAAGTAATATCAGAAGGATAGACAAAAGAAAGGTTAGATTTATGGATCACGTATGCCTGCACAGCAGGACTCCAATCATTTTTGCATTATCAAAATTATAAATCTGTTGGAACTGATCAATCTATGTTATATTGTCCATGTATATAAATGTAACTTTACTCTTATACCAGTACTCTATTAACAGTAGCTTGTTTCCTAACAGAAAAGTCCTAAAAATTTAACCTAACAACAGCAATAATGAGAAAATCAAGTAAGGTGCACACATTTGAATATATTGCCAAAAAAAAATGAAAAACAATTTACCATGTGGCATGTCGTTATGTTTTGAACTTTTGTTTAGCATACCACAGGGATTTTTTCAACTGATGGCGAGTGAGCGTTTTTCCAGTACGTTTGCGAATTTGTTCAATTTTTTCCTTTTCTACATCAGACAATGCTTTTGGTTTGCTGCTTGTCTTTTTCACATTTTTTGCCTGGCCTTTATTTTTAGTTAATAGTTTTGCAGAATTTTCTTTTGATACAGTTTTTTTCCCTTTCTTTGCAGAGTTTCTGTTTTTCACATTTTTTCCTCCATTCTTTCCATTTTTTACTAGATTGTTGCCTTTGTCACTTTTATCTTGTTTTCCACTTTCTATAGGTTTTTCATAAAGCCCACCAACAGCATGAACACTAGCACCTTTTGATTTAAACACATCTATAATCGAGGGGAGCTTAGTTTTCATATCTTGTTCCAATATCTTCCTCTTCTTTTCCCGAGAAAGGAAAGATTTATCCTTTTTCAATGTATTTTGAACTGTCCTTTTCTCATTTAATCTTTTTACAGTCCTAGCTGATGGAGAGGCTTTTCTATCAAATGGAACTTTTTTCCTGCCAGAACTGTTTCTTGTCATTTTGTTTTCTCCAACAGATTTTAGCAAATCAAGCTGTCTATTTGGCAATGTTTTCCTTGCATTTCTTGCGGGTGCCATAGTCTGTTTGGACTCTTCTGTAAATGTCTTACTTTTCTGTGTTTTTTTCACTGAGAGTTTTGCTGTAGGTTTTTCAGCTAAAGATTTTACCATCTTCTTTTTAGTTTTGTTCACTGAAGTCCTTTTCACCTTACTGCCTGCCTTCAACTTTTCAGTATAGTTAGGCATGAAAGTCTTCATGTAGCTTTCCTTCAGTATCTCTACAGAACTGTCTTCCACCTCGTGAACTCGCTCAAAGTTTCCCTCAGAATCAAACACCACTCGCTTTGCCCGACCATCAGTTGTCCCACTTTTACCCAACTCACCTTGTTTAGACTTCTTTTTCTTTGACTTGGGCCCCTCTTCCTCATCAGCATTTTCTAGCTGTCTTTTAACTGGCACTTTATCTATTGTCTCTACCCTTTCCTCTGTCAATTTTTGTTTTCCTCTCTTCTTTACTTTTTCCTTTTTGCTCTCCTTTGCACATTCATTGTCCCCAGATATTACATTCTCTTCTGAAGGAACTGTAATCTCCCTTTCTTTCTTCTTGGACTTTCTTGATTTTTTCACACACTCACTACTGTCATCTTTAATCTCATTGGATTCAACAATTTCAACAGATTTCTCCTCTGCTGAAACACTTTCTTCTTTCCCTTTCCTTTTTGACTTCTTTGATTTTTTCACAAATTTTTTACTGTCATCTATATTACTGTCATCAAACATTGAGCCAGATTCAACTGCTTCTACACTCTTACTTTTCTTTGCTTTCTTGACTTTTGAACCTGATTCATTATCTCCCAGTGAGAACATGACATGCTCGTCTTCTGTTCTCTCACATGCCTTCTCTTCACTACTTTCAGGGTCAGCTTTCCTTTTCTTTTTCTTCTTCTTTTCTTTTTCTAAAGTTGATCCATTTTCACCTGAGTCTTGCTCATTAACAGTCTCTAACTCCTTCTGTTGATTTCCTCCCTTTTTTGCAGCCATTTTCTTGGCAAAGTATTCCTGTAAACTATCAGTGCTATTGAAGGTGACAACAGATACAGGGTCCTCCTGGTAAAGACAAAATAGTAGTTGTCTTATTTCTTTAAAACATATGGCAGATTTCCAAAAAAAAAAATAATTGGAAAAAATACTTCATTAACTAATAAATCAAAATAATTTTGAGATATCCCACTTTTTGAAAATGTTGAACTAAAATTTTAAACGCAGCTTTTTTTGTGTGTGTGTGTTTTTTCCCCGTTTTTGTTTGTGTATGTGTGTGTGTATATGTTTTTTTTTTTGGGGGGGGGGGGGTATTTTTATTTGGGTGTGGAACTTCTTTTCTTTCTTGGTGTTTGATTGCAATCAATTTGTAAATTTAACGTCACAAAAATATTTGGTTAGAACATTCTCTGATTTTTTTCAGAGGGAAAGAAGACACTTTAAAATAACAGCCAATACCCCCAAAAAATGGAAACCCAAAGAATTTTTTCTTAATATTTGTATTAGACACACTTAGAAGCAGCAACAAGCCACAGAATGAATTTATTTGACTGACCTTGGGTTTATCTTCAGTTATATCATCCTCTTTCACCATCTCCTTGGTTTTCTTGTTGCTACGGACGCCAAAAATGGAGTCTAAATCTGAGGCTGATCTTCGGGACAGATCCTTCCCCTGAACAAACTTCTGGTAGCTGTTAAAAAAATTTTCCATTCATGAAGTGAAATACTTGAAGCTTTAAAAATATACCATGTGTTTCGGACAAATCCTTGCAAGTCAAAATTTTGATTATTTTGTTTGCTCAATTAAAGCAATATCTTAAATAGAAAGTCCAACTGATAACTTTAAAATCATGATTGATAGATAATTACAGAAATAATAATTATATTGAGAGTATATAACACTGAAATGAAAATCAAATGACTAGTTTTGATTTGCAAAATGGGCCAGGGGATCTCAGAAAAAAATCTTTTCTTTTTACATGTATCGATCGAAAGATTTACACATCAAAATGAACCATGCATACAATATTGTGCCGGAAGTGTTTCTGTAACAGATTTAAAGTAGCAATTTCATTTGTACAAGGATAAATATATTACTGACTGCACACGACTCCTGGACTTCTCAGACGTAGACTCTATGCTGGATACAGAGGCTGGCTCCCCTGTGCTTCCTTCGTTTAAGTTGGCCAAGATGGCATTGAAGTCATCCTGATGTGCTATCCAGTTATCACTGTGATTGTGTTTGTATCCTACACCTAATGATCAACAGAACAGGTAAAACATTAACTACAGGTGAACAGGTCAAGATTCTGTTTACTTTGTTACCATTTCTAAAAATATTGTGGCAAACTAAACCCCCTTTCTTATGTGTT